AGAGAGAGAGCAAGGGAGATAGAGAGAGACCGAGAAAGAGAGAGTTGAGGTTTGGCAAGGCTTTTTGTTGGTTGGGTTTCTGCAGGGTTGCATATGGTCGGGGTTTCACAAGGTTTTTGAGGGTCTTACCGGGGTACTACAAAAGCTTCAGGGTTCAGAGTTCGGTTCCTAGGCCCTGTTGCCTCAGGTTGTGATCGTAGGCTTATGCATTTTTAGGGTTGTGCTTTTAAGTAAATATCTCGGACCAATGTTTTTGTGTGGGGCTTCGGGTTTGGGTTTATGGCCCACGAATGTTCTTGCGCATCTCAACGAGGCGCTGAACGCTCCCTAAACCCTAAACCCTACACCAACGACCAACTTCTGCTTCGCTGGCCAATGAGCAATTCTGTCAAGCTCATCCTGACGTCTGTTCACCCACGTGGTCGTGAGATGCCAAGTGTAGCCTAGGCCTAAACCCTAAACCCTAAACCCTAAACCGTACACGTCGTTACCCGACCAGTGTACAATGGGCCCGACATTTTCTGGAGTGTTTGATCAACATGTTTCAGTCCTTGGCTTCTCGCTGTTCTTGAAGGCCCCTTGAACATCATGCCTTTATTTCTTGCTTTTATATATATATATATATTTATAATCATAGTAAGTTTGGCCGTCTTCCTGTCAATCAGACTGCGGAAACCCAAAAATAGTGTGTGTATGTATATAATGATGATGACGATTATCATTATTATCATTATTATCATTATTATCATTATTATTATTACTGTTAGCAATATAAGCAATAGTATGGATATTTTTACTATTATTGTCTCTATAGTTCTTATGATGATACACATACGCAAACTAGGGTTTAGGTTTCAGTGCTTGGGATCTCGGAGCCAGTCAGGCTCTGGGCTGGAGGATGCTCGGGACTTCAGGCTTGCATTCGTCTTATTCGGTCCAGGGCTTCATCTCATCTAGGGTTCAAGGTTTAGGGTTTGGGACTCAGCAACAAGGAGGCCTTCCAACGCCCTAAGGCCCCTGGGTTTAGGTTTCGGGTTTAGGGTTTAGGCACTCAGGTGTTCGGGTGTGGTGTGGATTTCGGGAACTCAAGTGTCGTCCTCTTCTGCCCTCTGTTGGCTTTCAGGACTACAGACCTAGCTAATGGCTCCCGCAGCTTGAACTCTAAATCTAAGGCTTGGGGTTGAGGGCTCATGGTTTGTAAAGGTTAGTGGGACACACAACCTAAAATCTGTACTTCGCACCTTACATGTGCAGGAGCCTGTGCCATCGCGTCGAGCAACCACTGCGGGCTCAGGACCACCGCCGGGGACTCCTGGCAAGCAGTTCGGAAACCACTTTCTCACTTCCCGGAGTAAGAAAGGAATGACACTAGCGCGGAGTTCTTCCGAGTTCTACTTTAAGCCCTTAACACAAAACCGCCTTGTTGCAAACCCAGATGTCTTATAAGGTTGGGCAGTGGAGGAATATGGTTGCAGGGTGTTGTCGGGGTTGGGAGGCTTAGGGTTTAGGGTCTGGGGTTTAAGACATATTAAGGTTTGGGATGCTGAGGCTGCTGAAGTCGCGGACTGAACCTAGCTGTTTTAACACAGTTCTGGAGTGGCATTGAAACAGAGGTAGATTGCTGAACCTTAAACCTCAGTAAACCCTGAATCCCTAACCCGTACATCCTGAATCAGTTTTACAGAGTCCCGCACAAACGAACAATCGGGTACCACTTCGGAGCCTGTCTAGGTCTTGGGTAGTTCGGGGGTTACGGGTTAGGGTTTGTAGCAGGTTGTGGCAGAGGGTGGGTTTTGCAGTGCTCGTTTCGGGTGCTTGCTCGGAATGATATTAGGGCCCTGCAATCAGATCGGTTCAAGTACGTTTATTATGTCAAGTCAACCCCCAAAAATGCACCCCAAAACCCTATTCCAGTGAATGAGGCCAAGAAAACTTTCAGCGTCTTTTCGTTGATGGGGCCCCTGTGTTTTTGTAGAGAAACGAACCCGCTTTCGTGGCGCCCGTCAAGTTGGGGTGTACAGCAACTAGTTGTTGCGTCCCGAGAAATCGACTCTGCCATTCGTGGTTGTTGATTCTGATGGGAACTCGCACTTGGGACATTCTTCGGCACGTTTACACTCCTTGTTTAAGCTGTAAAAAAAAAAACCTATTGTGACTCGAGATCTGGCATAAGATCCCGTAGGATTGAAAAAATATTTATATAGCAAGGTGCATGTTGAGATTCTGTGAGCGTTTCATTGTAGCAGCTTTGCCAATTGGCGAGGGGGTACTTCGGGGTATTTATACGGCAACTCGATCAGCATGTATATATATATATAAAGACTAAAGGGGCATACTATTATACTAATTGCTCCGACCCCGGTACATTTCCACGTTGAGGCTTAAGAGAGATTCGAGTTTAAGGTTTGCAAGGGCTTCATGGGTGCAGGGTCTCGGGTCTCTAGCTTACCGGGCTGGCTCAGGTAAGGCTAACCCCACTCAAGGAGTTCACTCAAATTCGAAAATATAACCTGCACGCGGAGTCCCTTGAGCCTCCAAGTAAACCGAGGTGGCAGCAGATAAGGCACCACCCATACACCCTCAAAAAAAAGAATTGCTACTATGCAACCACACACACGAACGCTCACTTGCCAAAACCAAACCCAAAAGCCTAAACCGAAACCGTTGAAAAACCGGAACGCCAATTCTGAACTCCCAAAAAGTCTTAGGCTGTTAAACAGCTTACCAAAGCCTTTGAACTTCAACCTCCTTAAGCTCTACGCAGCCCCGAACCATGTGCGGCCAGATGTTCTGGCAGCTTCCGCCTTAAAATACAGGAGCTGCCCAAGCTTGTGGAAAAGTCCTGGAGACAGCGTTCTGTAGATTATGAGGGCTTAGTGTTTGGATAGAGCGTGGGGCCTGTAAGGTCTAGGGATGAGGGCAATCATTTCCTTGGCACGCAGTGTAAGGACTAGGGTGATTAGGGTTCAACCAAAACCCAAAAACACAAAGCACCAAACCTTGAACCCCAACCCCCAACCCTGAAACCTTAACTTTCTAAGAATATTAGGCTCCTAAATACTATACTAAACCCCAAACCTCCGCCGTCTTTTTATCCTCTGCTCAGCCAAGGTTGACCCATTAGCATCAAGAACATGCAGAAGAAACTCCGGCCATTTTTTGCGCACTATAATGCGACCGCCTGAATAAGCAACGGAAAACACGCCTTGCAGAGGGGGCTTTATCCACATCACCTATTCTAAGATGCCAGTAGCTCAACATAGGCGAATGAGGTCATTCCTGAGGAATCGTCAAGCTGTGATGAAACCTTCTCTTCAACCTTGAACCTCTACGTAAATTCTCTAGCCCAGAGGCTGTGGCAGGAGATGAGATGTGGGAATGAGCCGTGGCTCCGGCAGCTAAAACAAATTGACAATGATCGAAGTAGAAGCGTTGCATCCGCAGCCGGAAATGCAAGTCAATCCACCTTGGGCTTGGCGATGGTGCATAAGAGGCGGAAAACGCAAGCCCCGAGTCTTATGCTGCCCGGTTCGCAGTTCGGCGCGCAGGGCTAGGTTCGACAGTCAGTTCGGGTGGGGTTTCTGAGATCTCCCTGTGGCAAATGGCAAATCCTGCGCGCCTTCAAAACGTTAGCTATAATGCCGGTCGTCACCTCCTTAAAGCTGCGGCGTTGCCGCATCTCCATGGCCAGCCTTGTGGCGGTCGAGGTCCGGGAGGCGACCAAGTTTTCCATGCTGGCGTTTTTGGCCCGGGCCTTCCAGTCCCACCGTGCATTTAACTCCAAACCTGCGGCCACATCTGTTCCCGATGCAGCCACCACTGCACCCCTTAACTGTGACCCTCACGCGCGGAGATGCGAAATGGGCTGGGGCTGGGATGATGTTTTCTGGTTTCAGGTTTCAGTTTAAGCCTTGCAGGACCACATACCCAAACTCTGCAACACAAAGCTTAACATAAGCATCGTTTAACCGTGTTAACAAAGATCAGAAAGCTGTTCATCTGAACCAGTTGCAACAGAATGGGCGGCAGGGAGTGGGTCTGGGAGGCACTCGCAAGGCCCAACGCCGGGGTTTGGAGAGGATGGAATTGTGGCTTCGGTCTGCCCTGCACATCTTGTGGCGGCTTGTGCGTGGTGAACAGGCAAGAAGTTACATGTCACCGTAAAGGATCCGTGGCCGGAGGTTTTCCACGACTGGTATCTGGATATTCTGCCATTCCTTGGTTTGCGCAAGGGCATGCCCGATTCGCCGAAAGATGAGCCCACATATGCATGTTGGGTGCACTGACGGCCAAACAAAGAACCGAACATACAACAGTCGTGCTTTGTGCACCAAACAACAGTTTAGTCAGACAGCCTCATTCCAGGTAGGACCCATCTTCACCTCGTGGAAGGGACGGCGCTTCACGATGGACTGCTGCGGAGGCAGCAAGACTAGATCGTCCGGATGTCGTGGTACAGTGTTGAGCCCAAAGCTGTGGTCCACCAGGGTGCTCTTGGTGAAGTCTCGTCCTTCATCCACCAACTCCTGCACGATAGGCAGACTTGTAAGAGGCTCACTTGACTGTTCCTCATACGACGACTTCGAGTTGGCTGCACCCTGTCGCCCAGCTCCCTCCCTCTTTGGGGGGATGATTCGCAGGCCACGCGCAGCTTCAGCACAGCAAGGACGAAGTAGGAAAGCCCTGGCAGCTGTTAAGCATGACCCACGCGGACACGTAGCTACAAGTTGAAAATATATACAGTCTCCGCAAAATCCCATGCAGGTCCCACGCAAGGGATACTCGCACAAACACTCCGATGCATACGACACAGGGTCGCTCCTGGCATCTTCAGTCGTCTGGTAGTATCCACATACCCCACCGAGCGAACTTTGGCACACTGGTGTGGCACCATCACTTTCATGCCAAGCGCCGGATTGATGTTGATGTTTCCTTTGACCTCCAACGAATGTGTATCTTAATGACTCTCTACCAGGAAGAGAGGTGTTTGCACACCGCCACACGACCTTGCAGCCAAGGTACGAGGATGGTCTCGCAAGAGGCGCCCACATAAAGGAGGCCGCGAACTTGAGTCACCGCGAAAACATATCGCCCGCTCCGCCACTGCATGGGATGGCCGTCCAGTTGACAGATCTGCAGTGCTGTTGCTGCCTCAATGCCCGCCTCCATCTGACCATGTTTGGCGTGCACGTTCACCTAAGAGTCAAGCACAGCATGCACAGACTCGGTTACTGTTCCAGACCGACATGAAACACGACAGAACAGCCAGCCGTCGTGCAAACGAGCAGCGCTGTTGAGGAAGGCATTTTCGGGGTGCAGCTCGACAACCACATCACTGTTCCATGCGGCGAAAGTGCCAGGAAAAAGCAGCAGGGCCATCCTGCTGTAAGCCTTCTCTCGCGTCTTGGCTGCCGACAGCAACCACCTTGGCAGGGCGAAATTCAACGTGCACCTGGCGACTGGAGAGGAAGTCAGAGGCTTGCTGGCGTAGTAGGCCTTGCCGTTTTCGCGTGTGGATTGCAGATGCAGCTTGGCAGGCCAACCTCGGCACAGCACAAGACCAGTAGGGCAGACATCCTAGACCGTAGACCCTACACCCCGGACCCTAGACCCCAGATCCTAGATCCTAGACCCTTGTCCCCAGATCCTAGACCTTACACCCCAGACCCTAGAATCTAGATCTTAGACCCTGTTGCGCGATCTTTCAAGGCGGGCCTTAGCTGCTTGGCGTAGCACCGCCTCATCGCTCCGAACTTGCACCATGGTATGCCCGATTTGCTGCCCGTAGGCAAGGCAACACCTGCGCGTGCATCTCTTCAGAGTACTTTCCAGTGAAGAGGGTGTAGGGTTTAGGGTTTAGGGTTTAGGGATATTGCGCACCTGCAGCTTGGGTTTTCAAACCAGCTCGCAGGCAACATGGCGAACGAAAGCATCGCGCAGGCACTTCGAGAAAAAGCCTTGGCGTACCGTCCTCCTAAACCCTAAACCCTAAACCCTAAACCCTAAACCCTAAACCCTAGCGCCTTGATGGGCCGTGCTTTGCATGTCAGCAACAGGCAAGTTCGGGGCTGATTGCTCGTATGTTGCTTTTTGCCATGCTAAGTGGAAGCTAACCCAGACAACGGTTTAGGGCTTAGGGTTTAGGGTTTAGGGTTTAGGGTTTAGGGTTTCCCTGCAACAACCATAAAGCCAAAAAACAAATAAACAAGAACCTTAAACCTTGAAACCCACAGGACCCTAAAGCCCTACAAACCCCAAAATCCCAGAACATCCCAAAACTATTCACATAAACCTAAACCCCTGAAGCCCGAAAACACAAAACAACTAAATCTCTCAAGCCCATTGTTGGGGCTAGAATGGACACGGCTCTTCAAACCAGAAACCGTCAACCCTGAATAACAGCATCAAGACCTGCACCGACACCCCCAAACCCTGAACCTTCACAATCTAAGCCAAAAAACCTAAATCCTTAATCCCGAAACCTCTACCCTACAACCTGAGCCCTAAAAGCCTAAAAACTCAAAACCCCCAAACCTACATCATGAACCTCAAAAAGCCGAAACAGTAGCCGGGTCCTAGGAATTTCTCCAGGTCAATCTCATGGATCCTTGGCAGCATGGCGAGGGCTTGAGGTTCCCGGAGGTTTTGTTTTTTCTGAACCCCTAAACCCTAAACCCTGAACCCTAAACCAAAAACCCTAAACCCTAAACCCTAAACTAAACCCCAAGCCCGAACCCCTAAACCCTAAACCCTGAACCCTAAACCCCAAACCCTAAACCCTAAACCCTAAACTAAACCCCAAGCCCGAACCCTGAACCCTAAACCCCAAACGCTAAACCCTAAACTAAACCCTAAACCCTGAACCCTAAACCTTAAACCCTAAACCCTAAACCCTGAAGCCTAAACCTAAACCCTAAACCCTGAACCCTAAACTCTAAACCCTAAACCAAGGCTCCGTGTCGTTAAGGTCAGCGGGTCCCAGGGGTTCGGTGGTTCGATCTGTGCCAAGTCCCTTAAGGACGAAAAGAGCCCTAAAAGGGTTGCTTTTAGGGTGCCTTTAAGGGTTCTTCTAAGGGTTAGTATGGGCTCTATCGGGTTTAGGGTTTAGGGTTTAAGGACGAAAAGAGCCCTAAAAGGGGTTTAGGGTTCATATACCATATAGGGATTCATAGTATAAGGGTATGGGGCCCCTACTTTTAAGGTTCTTTTCGTCCTTAAGGGTTACGTCATATCAAGGCGTACCTGCGCTCAGAAGCGCCAGAAAGCTTCGCAAACATAAACCGCCCTAAGCATCCCCACGCCCAAAATATGAGTTCGTTTTTGTCACTGTATGTGTGTATGTATGTATGTATGTATGTATGTACGTACGTACGTACGTATGTAGGTATGTATGTATGTATGTATGTATGTATGTATGTATGTATGCATGTGTGTCTATACATGTACATATATATATATATATATACAAGTATATACATGTGTGCATATAGTCTCTGAGAAGTCGCAGCTGCCCGATTCCGGTAGTTTTCCACTGCGGGTGTAAGTTGCCAGGGTTCAACCAGCACCATGTTGTTTAAGGCTTCTAAGGCTTTAGTAGGACGTTTGGTGACCTTTAAGGTTCAAGCTACTAATTCTGAAAACAGTAGAAGCTCAGTAAACCCCATCGTCGATGGGGTCCCTAAACCCTAAACTCTAAACCCTAAACCCTATAAACTCTAAGCCCATCGACCCCGAAAGCCCCATAATTCCTGACCTGGGCGGCTATACGATGCGAAAGTTACCAACCCGGAAGCCTGAGCCGGTTCAGGGTGTTTAGGGTTTAGGGGTGTAGGGGTTTACGGGATTAGGGGTTTAGGGGTTTAGGGGTTTCGGGGTTTCTGGGTTTCGGGGTTTAGGGTTTAGGATTTAGGGTTGAGGGTTTAGGGGCTTCAAACAGCCTAGGGGTTGGGTTGGAAATAAGCTCGTAGCTTAGGGTCACGCATACTTGGAGGGTCGGGGGACTTAGTAAGTAGGTAATAAGTAGACTTATAAGTACCCCAAAAGGGCTCCTAATTGGGGTTATGGTACTTATAAGTCTGTAAAATAACTAGTTGCTAAGTCCCCCGACCCTCCAAGTAGCGACACTCCCGTGTCCCTGCCTGCAGCCAAGCGTAGCAACCCCTGCGCAAGACGGGAGGCGAAAGCTTCGTTCAAAAGGTTTATAAAGGGATTTAGGGGTTTAGGGTTTTAGGGTTTTAGGTTTAGGGTTTAGGGTTTAGGGTTGGTTAAAGGCCTGCAACCCCGAAAAAGTCGAAGAATCCTGCCTCCTTGCAGAAGCGCCTGCCATCAAAACATGTGTGCATATAATAACATAAAAAATGCCTGCATAGCCGTACTTCGGTCACATACAACCCCCGCAAGCCTTAAGGACTAAAAGAACCTTAAAAGTAGGGGCCCTAGACCCTTATGCTATGAATCCCCATATGGTATATGAGCCCTACACCCTTTTAGGGCTCCTTTCGTCCTTAAAGAGAAGCTGAAGCCCTAAGCCTCAAGCCGCATATTGACCTTGTTTTTGAAAGCATTACGCAAACCGCTACAAGCCATAGCCGATAAAAGAATCCCGGCTCTCCGACCCCAGAAGCCCGAAAAGAAAGAAAAGGGAGGACTCCATGAAAACTCCCACCCCCTTAAAATTGAAGACACTCCCTAAACATCCAAGAAATCTGAATTTCCCCACTCCCCCAACCCCAACACCCCTAAACCCTATAAACCCTAACAGACACTAAACCCCTAAAGCCCCAAACCCCACAAACCCCTGACCCCCTGACACACTTGGCCCTGAAACCCAATCCCGAAACAAAAAGTTATAGAACACCTAAGGACGTTTGCAAGTCAGTAGGGGTTCATTCTTGACTATTCGAACCCTAAACCCTATAAACCCCATAAGCCCTATCAATCCTATAGCCTATAACCCCTAAACGCCTATGTTGATCCTTCCACCACCCTCTGTTGCCCGCTACAGACGAGATTTTTACCCGGTGGAAGTCCCAGGCCCTTACTCCAAGTTCTCTAAACCCAGCGCGCAAGGCCCTGAACCCGAAACCTTAAACCCCTAAACCCAAACCCGCTAAACCCCTAAACCCTAAACCCGAAACTAATTCCAAGTGCTCCAGGCCTCCAGATCCAATTTCCCAAGTTCCAGCAGGGCCTGCGTGGGGTTAAAAGTCGGGTTGGAAGTCCCTCAAGTGGGGTTCTATAAGTCCCCTAAGTAATTCAATTTAGGGTTTAGGGTTTAGGGTATAGGGAGATTACGTACATCCTATTCTGCTAGATCCAAACCTGGACCTTACATCCTAAACCCAAACCTTTAACTTCGATGTCCTAAATCCTAGTGGCTAAGGCTGCAGAGTCTAGGGCGCGACGAGAGGGTAAGAAATACATCGACACACTGTTTAGGCTATAGGAGTATACTGAATCCGGTTTCAAGTTTCAAGTATGTTGCTTAACATGATCAGAAGGAAAAGTGCGTAATCAAGCTGTATTGAATCCTTCAGCCGTTCTTGATCAGCTTTAATCCCAGGATCGCTGCATAAGTCACATAAACAAGTGTCAGAAAACTCTGAGAGGAAGCTTGTAAGTGGTGTTGTAAGCCCCCTAAGTGGGGTTGTCAGTCCCCTAAGTGCGGTTGTAAGTCCCCTCAGTGGGGTTCTAAGTCCCCTAAGTGGGGTACTAAGTCTCCTAAGTGGGGTTATCGAGATTAACTTTACGTAGAAGTGACCTACTAAGTCCCCTGAGCTTTTAAGCGGTTACCGAAATCCCCAGGCCCCATCAGAATCCTAAACCCTAAACCCCTAGACCCTAAACCTTAAACACCTAAACCCTAAACTCGAAGCCCTAAATGAACTGTTGGGGCATGGGGTTCTGGAGTCAAGTTTGGCACAGGTAGCGCAATACCCCTGAAACAAGCTTCCTCTCAGAGTTTTCTGACACTTGTCTATGTGATTTATGCAGCGATCCCTGGATTAAAACTGATCAAGAACGGCTGAAGGATTCAATGCAGCTTGATGGCGCACTTTTCCTTCTTTTCATGTTAAGCAACATACCTGAAACCAGATTCAGAATACTTCTATAGCCTAAACAGTGTGTCGATGTATTTCTTATCCACTTGTCGCGTCCTAGACTCTGCAGCCTTAGCCACTAGGATTTCGGACATAGATGTTAAAGGTTTGGGGCTTAGGATTGGGTTTAGGATTTAAGGTCCAGGTTTGGATCTAGCAGAATAGGACTACGTAGTATCCCTATATCCTAAACCCTAAACCCTAAACCCTAAATTGAATTCCCAATGGCCCTGCAGCCTCTATACACTGGAGCAGGCTGAAGCAAGCCAGACGTCCGAGGGCAGCCTCCGAGTGCCCGACAACATGCCCGGGCTGTGATATATGCTCCACTACGGTTTAGGGTTTAGGGCTTTGGGTTTAGGGTTTAGGGTTTTAGGGTTTTAGGGTTTAGGGTTTTAGGGTTTAGGGTTTAGGGTTTAGGGTTTAGGGTTTAGGGTTGCACTAACTAAACCACAAAGGACATGGGTCCTTGTTAAGGATCCTATTCGAGCCCTGGCGCCTCTTGTTAAAGAGCCCCATTTTTGTCGCCGGTTCCTCAGACCGGCTGTAGCATCACCGCTCATTCCTGCCTACCGGAAAAGACCCGAAGACAAATAGATAAAAAACCCTCATGCTATAGGGGCCTTAAAACTTAGAGTAGGGTTATGGGGCATATTGCACCAGACTTTCAATAAGGAACTCTTGCAATATATAAGGACTTATATTATTACCTATTCAGGCACCCAAATAGTATATGCTTTGGCCCCTAAGTA